CCAGCCAATGACTGAATCTTCCCTTCCTGTCTCCTAAGTATTTCTCAAGCTCTCGTCTTCTCTTAACCGAATATTGGAATGGACTCATTATTCCAGCCTTTTCCTCCCCAGATCCATCCCCAGGGCTAGGCTGGGCTGACTGAAGTGTAGAACCACCCTCTTAATAGCTTTCCACTCCCTTTCTTAAGCAGGCGATTGATTGAGTGCCTCCCAGAGCGGATCAGAACCGCAAGAGTACTCAAATCCATAGTGCACTGACCTGGGCTTATCCGTTTTTCTTGCTAGTAAACCATTTAAGACATTCATGCAGCAGTGTTTGCTGAGCACATACTATGTGCTTGGCATTCATTCTTCTGGGGAAACGGCAGTGAACAAAAGGTAAATATTCCTACACTCATGGAGCTTCTGTTCTGGAGAAAGGACACAATGAACATAATAAATATGATATGTAGTGTGTTAGTAATAAGGGCTGTGACTAAAAAAAAAACACAAAGAAACTTTGAACAAGCCAAGAGGGATTGGAAATCCTGGGGTAGGGAGATGGATGACCATTTTAAACAGGGTATCGATGGAAAGCCTCACTTGGACAGTGAGCCTTAAGCAAAGGCATAAAGGAGGGAAGGGCATGTGCCATGCAGATATCTTGGAGGAGACAGCCCTAAGCAGAGGAAGCAGCCAGCGCAAAGACCCTGGGGCAGAAGCGTGTCGTGTTTGTTGAAGGAACAACAAGAAAGCCATATTCTAAGTGCGGAATGAGCCAAGGAGAAAGTAGAGGGACATCAGGCTAGAAGCCCTGGCTTGTTTGCTGGCTTGTTTTGCTTTAAAAAATAATCTGTGTTGTGTGTGTTTTTGGTTTTTGATCCTTTAGGAAAGAGAATCTTCAGATTATGGGAATCTACCGTAGGAGTTGGATTAGAAAGGCAGTAAAGGGTTATGGTGAAGTCAGGCAAATCTGGGTTTCAGTCTGTCTTGCTGTTCTCAGCCTTGGGCAGTTATTCGGGCTCTCTGGGCCTTCGTTTCGTTGTGAAATGGAGAAATAATACCCACTTGATAGGTCGCTGTGAAGATTAAACGAAACAGTGCCGTGACGCTCTTAGCATGCTGCCTGCACGTAGCGCTAGTAAGTGAACCCAGTTCATTTGGCCACATCCACTTGGGAGGCGGCTTCACTTTTTCTTTTGTCCCTAACGCGGTTGGTCTGACCCTGTCCGTGTCGGGTTCTTTCCCTTCAGAGTTTAACGGCGCTGCTGCATCGAGCGTGTGGTGTGCCGCACTAGCAATTTGGTGCTTGACCACCCAAGCGTGGTAAAGACACTCGGAGCCCAGTGAGCGGATGTGGACCAATTTGTCCAGCACCGGGAGCTTTTAACATGGAGCGTGATTGCTGTGTCCTTCCACGTTCACACACACGCACACAGATGTATAGTAAAAAGACTTCTCCTGGTATAGATGTTTCTTTTTAAATCACAGAAACCAGAAATGAGGTTGAGTGGAAAGCAATGATGAGCTCTGGTATAGGGGAACTGCCTGCACTTTAAAAATTTCTCGTTCTTGCTGAGTGGTACTTATTTGTAAACTGGCTTTCATTTCCAGGACAGATTTTGGTTTTTATTTTTTCTTGAATGTACTGTGACACAGCACTGATGAAGTTGGACCTCAGTAGTTCAATTTTATTTACTTTAATTGTTTTGATTCCTATCTCCATGCCCCTTTAAAAAATGGACTTTGATCTAGTATTCTTTTTGGCCTGTCAAAGCTGAATAACAAAGTTTTGCCTTTTTAATTTTTTTTAAATTGATTTCAGAGAGGAGGGGGGAGAGAGAGAGAGAGAGAGAGAAACATCAGGGATGAGAGAGAATCATTGATTGGCTGCCTCCTGCACACCCCCCTACCAGGGATCGATCTCGCAACCCAGGCATGTGCCCTTGACCGGAATCGAACCTGGGACCCTCCAGTCCACATGCCGACGCTCTGTCCACTGAGCCACACCAGCTAGGGCTAAAAGACTTCTTGTTTCTAAGCGAGGCACTCTGGGAACTGGACAGGATGAAGGGGCAGTTGCTGTCTGCTAGGCAACTGCAAGTCAAGTTGAGGAGCACAGACAATACACAAGAAGAGGAGCTCACAGCGAGAGGCGGAAGCCAGCCCCCCCCCCCCCCCCCCCACCATGTGGAGGAAGGCCAGAGGAGGACTCGATTGTTCATGTGACCTCAGATATATAGGTCTGAAGTGAGAAGAGAGAGGCGGGAAGGGAAGCAGTGGGATCCTTTGTACCGTTGGAACTGCACGCAGCACAGACTGGTTCGTTGGTGTGGGGCGGCGTGGAGCGGTGAAGTCACTGATGGGGGATGAGGGGCAGCTGGTGTGAGGGTCCCAGCGGGCCTCCCGGAGCCTGGGCCGCCCGTGCACCGAATCGTCATTCCGGGGAGTTTTGTGTGCAGTTGTCCGGACAGGTGGCTAACAGCTCTGCCAGGATTAGGGTGCAGCAGGCCACACCTGCTTTCCACAGAGATCTGATGCCAGTAGCCCTGGACTGTGGGTTTTTCTTGGTTCTGCACTCAGCAGTCTCTCTGCAGGCCCCAAGCCAGGCTCCCATCTGGCAACTAAGACCTCTTTATCTGTCTACTTCGGAAGATAAAAACTATGTGACCAGCCCGTCCCAGCACAGCTCTGATTGGCCCTTGGGGTGAGTGTGTGGGAGGAATTAGGAGGAAATGGCCAGCAGTGAGGTCATTAATGGGCAGAAAGAGGACAACTGCATTTTCTTTGTGGGCATTAAATGCCTGTCCGGATCCTTTCTTCCCCACTTCCCCCTCCTCCCTCCAAACAGGATGCATGAAAACACGGTTGAACTAATTTGTTGATCCACTCTCCCATGGCGATTAAACTGCTTGAAATTCCAGACCCCACACTGGTTTCTCAGACTGGAGACTCCAAAGTTTAGAGAATGCTGATATCCCCAAGGAACCTTGTTCAAAGTGCAAAATTCCTGAGATGCTGATCCAAGAAGTCCTGCCTTGAAGCTGGGAATCTGCTTTAATAGCCCCAGGCACACATAGTTCCTCCAAATTTTTTTTTTTTTTTTTAACCAATAAGAAATATATTTTACATTGCAATCTTGGGTGTGTACCTGAAATATTCCCCCTTACTAAGGGATTTCCTATTCAGTTCCATTCCGTTTTTCAAAAACAGTGCTGGTCAGCCCTGCCAGTGAGGCTCAGTTGGTTGGGTGTCGTCCTGTGAACCAAAAGGTTGCTGGTTCGGTTCCTGGTCAGGGCACATGCCCGGGTTACAAGCTCAGCTAATTGAGGTTTCTCTCTCATTGTCTCTCCCTTCTTCTCTCTCTAAAATCAATAAAAATATATTTAAAAGCAAAAAACAGTGCAGGTCAAACTAGACTGACTTCATGACTCACCAATGAATCTCAGCCTGCAGCTCTCTAAACATCTCTGTTAGAGTCTGTAGAGGACCTTCCCAGGCACTTTCTTTGCTCTGTAGCTTCCATTCATTCATTCATTCATTCAGCAAAGATTTATTGAGCACCATTCTAGAGATGAGGAATACAGCAGTGAACATAACAGGCAAAAGACCCGGCTCTCATTCAGCCTATATACGGTACCTGATTCTCCAAATCCCAATTTCCATGGCTTGCCCATTGCTCTTCCCACACTCTGGGGGTGAGCATGTCTCTCACAGAAATCTAGGGTTGCGGGGTGGAGGGGATCATTGAAGACCTCTGGTTTGGTTTTGCTGTGTTTTTGCTTTTTTTTTCAGTTTTGCCTACCTAGCCAAAAAAAAAAGAAGAGCTAGTTTGATCCAGTGTTTTCTCTTTGCAATTTGTGGAAGAGGAAGGAACACTTATCTCAGATGACGGAATCTATTGTATCTTCCCAGAAAGGAAGCCTGGGTTGTTACCACTTAACACAGTCTAGCAAAGACAAACATGCATTGAGCCCCCACTCTTAAAAAATACACAAAAAATAGCAGGTGTGAGCAGCAGGGCCTGCCTACCCTTCAAGTATCATTTATCTCAGAGGGGCAGTTCTGAGAGTCAACGTCTCATTGAGGGGTAAGATGACTTGAATTAGAGTATAGGTGATGCTCCCAGAAAGAAATATGTCGAGTCGGAGGAGACATATTTCCTGCAAAGATCTAATGCATAGATTAGCTGTTCCTCCCACAGCCGCTGTGATGAGTTCAGCGCAGTGGACGGCTGGGCTTGCACCTCAGGATCGAGTGGAAAT